GGTCTACACTTCTTTGGTCTTTTTAGAAACTTTATCATATTCATATATATCCATCGACTGTTCCTTTAATTTTTGTTCCTTTAAGTGTATGTGAGAATAGTAGGTCCATAGCTCTTTATTCGCACAGGGTATGCACGATGGCATAGTTCCTTTCAGTAGAGGGTTAGCGACGATTGCGTCGCGTTACTTGTGGATAACGATCAAAACGGTCCGATGTTAACAAAGAAGACCCTCTTCGCTTCATTCAAAGATGTAAAGAGACCTCCTCACGGTATCAAATTACGATGGAAAGATAAAATCATGAAGGATATCACCGTATCCAATATTAAAAATTGGAGACGAGAAACACATGACAAGGATACATGGCGAAAACAATTAATCGTGGTGTTACTTATGGCATCGCTCACACAGATGTTACGCGTATAGTACGAGAATATAAAGAAAGAGCTGTTGACCGTCGAGCACGAGAAGAACTAATCCATCACATACCGAAAAATACAACAACTGATCATAGTCGTCTAGCTCTCACAACTGATGATACTACATGCACGCAATGTGGACGGATATGTAAAAACAAAAAAGGTCTAAAAACCCATCAACACACGTGTATCAACAAAAGAGTCATAGCTAAAATGGCTGTTACACAAAAAATGCAACAATCAATATCAACAACATCACATCAGGCAACAACCTCACAACCGATGAAAATAATAAAATTCTTGTTGAAAAACAACAATAATGAATACATATGTATGTCCAAATCAAACATGTGGCAGAGTGTTAAAGGCTCAAGGTGCTACATCACATGTGGAAGCATGTGTGAAATTGTGGCTGGAAAAACAAAATATTCTCTTTTAGTGGCCAAAGTCTGCATGCAGCTTACCGCGAAGTATGAAGACGGCTACTGAAACTAGATCCGCTTGTGGTGTGGAGGTAACAGTCTGATGGGAATCGCAGTAGCTACATGCAGATGATAATCATCTGACGAACAAGATCGATTCGCTCATTTTCAACTTGTGTATATCCCTGTGTTGTCTCTTTTATGTTTTGTGTTGTTTTATATATGTTGTGTGTCGTCCCGTACATGTTTTATGTGTCTTTGTGTTATGTCTTTGTGTCGTCCTTCTTTCTCTTTTTAGTTTTTCGATTTTATTTTCTCCCTTCTTATTTTAATTTAATTTTATTAATTATTATGTCTGTTCTTCGCCTAAACTGGGTTACCGGTATTGGTATTTCTTCTTTCTTCATCTTTTACTTTGGAAGAAAGAATCGAGTTTGAATAAATACTCTCCAAAATACCTTTTCATTGTCGCCTGGAAATCATTAAACTACCATCGCTTCGTAGTCTTATTAATGTCTATAGATATCATTTAGGTGTCATGTATTTTCTGCAACTTAGGCAATTAAAAGTTGCTATCTTAACTGCATATAACACAATCTACGGCATACAATTTTTGTTACCTGATCGCAAAGATCATTTTACTTTTGCACAGACGCACAGAGTACTGCCAATATGTTACTGGGAAAAGGGTAGTACAGAATGAGCTGTCAGAGAAGGTCAAATAGCCTTGAATATTACGTTAAAATATATACCAATGGATTATACAGAAATTAGTTTACAATATTTTCGCGTGGCTTTTCTCTGTTTACAAGGACGATAATGGAGAGAAGCTGAACAATATTTCATGAAAACCATTGAAACAGCACGACTTAGCAATGTGTTTCAAGGAGATTATATTCAAAAAATGGAAGAACTCCTTGAATTGGTGAAGTAAGCAGTTCAATGAACTATGTAGAAAACGTGTAAATAGATAGCTATTGTGTTTACTATCTCTCTAGTATATATGTCGGAGTGTTCAGTTCTATTTCTAAAGAGGACGTGATATGCCAAATAAGAAAATGAGATGTTTAAAGATGCTAATTTTGAATAACGAGATTTATCTGTATTTTCACATTCATGTCATGTTTTTTTCTGCTCATTAGACAACAAATCAATGAAATCACACAGTTAAGAGTAACAATTCGTGAGTTGGTACCAAATCCTGGTGAGAATCAAAGAGACTTTTCACGTCGAACAATCGCTGAATTGACTGCTCACAATACTGCTAATGATTCACTTCAGATTGATAAAGCTGAATTTGAGCGTTTACCAAATAAACGAACTGAATCACAAATTAACGACCGAATTCTCAGTGAAGTATTAAAAACTTTGGAGAAATATTTAAATGAAAAATGAGTTTTTATATGAATTTGGAACAATATGCGTTCGCATTGGTTTTACTGCAGCTTAGTTTAAAAACAACCAAATGAAAACAAGTTCATTATCATCAGCTCAAATTGAAGCAGCATTAACAATAATCATTAATCGAATAAATGATGAAAATTATGTCGATAATGAACGATATAGAATAGTGAAACAATCACCATTTACAATTTCGTATATAGATGATGACGAGCTTCATGCAAAATAAGTACGTGTATTTCAATTGAAAACAAAGTATCGGCCCGAAGCATAATAACAGTTTACTCATTGTTTTCATCAGGATTTATTGACATACCTTTTTCTGTAATCAGCTTTGATTAATAAAAACTAAAGATCTCAGTGTATATTTGTAGCATAAAACCATCAAGGTTTGAATATTGAAAGAGAATGTTAAGAAAGATAATAAGGTAAAATAATTACATTTTTGGTGATATATGTTAACATCTATCATTTGCCTATAACGAAAATAGTGTAAATGATGCAAAATCCATCCATTATTATTGCTGATTAGGGTGTTGGTGTGGATGTGACTGTAAGAAAGTGTGGGCGAGGAGAAGATGCAAATCCACACCCACACTTTGATCGAAGACCGATGAGATCTTTTATTATGAGGAGGGCTTCATTACAAACGAATTTTGCCTATTATATATGTATATTTACATGTCTTTTCATTTCAGATATATTCAACTGTGATAAAGGCTTCAATATTATCATGATCAGCAATTATTACGATCCGTCTGTGCTCAAATCAAGCAACTGTATGCCACTGCAATTTGTCACGTTTCTTACGGAACAACGAGAAAACTATTTGTCAAATCAACTAAGCATTCAGTTTGCTTCGTAGCAGTGCTTTCACAAATGCTGACAAATTGAGGTCAGGTACGACGTCCACGGTAGGGTTTGCTCCTCCTGTAAAATCATCTGTTAACATGTCTGAAAAGAGAGATAATCTGTACAGTGCTTGCGGATTCAAGTTGAGGCGCTCATCTAGCTGTTGATGCCATTCTGTCACATTGAGAAAATAAGGCTCCATCATTTTTTGTCGACAGATTTCTGTCCATATTGCTTTGAAAGTAATTTTGTGTGTTGCAGGAAGACTAATTGTTGCATTTGCTTTGTCTGTCGATTCGCCTATTTTCACAATTGATCGACTCATCAAATCAACCGGCGTGATATCGAATGTTCGACTAATGTTGGGAGCTGAGCCGAACTCAATGAGACTCAAGAATAGAAGCACAAAAGAGTCGTTCTTATTATAATAACCTGTCGATGAACACCAGGATATAAAACCTATCATTCGGATATGTCTATATTGCATTTCTTTCAGCAACGCAATATTACTAAGAAACTTACCTGGTCGAATTATGCTCACCGACAAACCTCTGTTTCTCACTTGTTTCATGAGTAGCTCAGCTACACGTTTACTATTGGCATAACCAGTTCCATTGGTTTGATCTTCGACACTCAAAGTTGATATATAATTTATTCGAGCATTCGCGAGGCAGGCCAACTTGATTATCTCAATGCTGCCAGACACATTTGCTGCGCGAAGTTCCTCGTATGGTTTCAAAAAATGAACCACCGCACCACAATGGTAGATCGAACGAATTTTTGACGCTAACAATAAGTATTGCTCGTCGCTGATGTCTAATTGCGAATGAGTCAGGTCACCATTGACATAGAAAACACGAGAATGATATACTTGTGTAGATGTCGATGGATGAACAAGACAGTAGATATTGACATTAGTCTGCTGGAGTAGTTCGGGCAAAAGATAAGCACCAAGAAATCCAGTTGATCCGGTAAGAAAAATATCCGTATGATGAGTTTTCTCAGTCGTTATAATGTGTGGTCGTATCAATGGGTCGAGCTTTCCATCTGTCTCCATCAATTGGATATTTTCTGATTCATAGTGCCAATACATATCATTTCTTGGGGATGAAAATGGATTACCATTACCATCGTTACCTACAAGTGTGAGAAAAGTTTTTTGTGATTTCTGTTTTGCATATCGGATATTTTTGACCCGCAGTTTTATTGAGTTCCTCAGAGGACAATGACTAATTACAATGCATTGGAAAACAAAGGTGGGATCGGCTCAATTTGGTTCCAGAAAAAACACGCAGCGGTTTCATCTGAATCTGATATTCTAACGGATTCGTTAGCCTGTTTGAATCTATTAAAAAATCCTATCATTAAGTAACTTTTATATTAAATTAGTTAAACAAACTTTGTACTCTCTAAAAAAAAACAGTATTCTCGGAAACCAAGGGAGAAAGGTTTCCGAGAATACTGTTTTTTTTTAGAGAGTATACATATTTTTTGAATAAAATGAATAGTTTTACCCTTTCTTTCAAAGTCAACTGATAGAACATACAGAAAGTTCTGATTTTATTTACAGATATGTTCAACGAAATCAACAAATAAAGGTTAATTATTGGAAATCATTTTGTACAAGAGAAAATATCTCTTTTGAATTATATACTATATTATTAATGAACATGAAGAGTATCGAAATAAATCAGATTTATTCGTTCAAAGAAATCATCATTTGAAGAACTAAAGTGATTAAAACATCGAATTACTTACAAAACAATCATTTGGTTATGCAAAATAGCTTCAAAAACCTACGTCCTGTTGTCAAATAATTAATAGTCATTTAGAAGGTATCAACATAAAATGGTATTAAAAAAGAAACACAAGCATCAAAATATGCCAATAAATAATCTGAAAAAATAATGATTCTTATGGATGGTTTGTATCCTATATTATTGAATAATGATTTTGGAGCGGTTATGAAAACTATTGAAAAATCTGATGTTTAAGTCCAAAATATCAAGTTCAAATGATTGTTTCTAAAAATAACGTGTGAAACGAAAGGTTTAGGATAAAATATTTGCGTATCTTTGATCAACTTGAAAGTATTTCAGACGAGTCGAAACCTAATAATTAGAACCAGCATTGTATGGGTGT